ACATCATTAATATTTTGGAATCCTTAACACCCTGTATCTCGAAAATGAAGCGTTTTCGCCTTTATGTACATATAATTTTATTTTACTTATTTTTATCTGAGGAACATATCCTTAAAGTTTGTCCTGAAGCACCCTGTATACAGTATGTCCACAGTTAGAGTGGAAAAGAGAGAAAATATATTTTATTTTTCATTTTACGAGAAAAATGCATTCTTGATTAAAATTTTTGCCTGTCTTTAAAATGTGGTTGGCATGAAGACCTTTCATCTTGCATGTACAGGGTGATCAGAATATCGGTAAATATAAAAATTGTTGAAGAATAAACTTTCTTTGTTTTAAACAATACAGAAATATGTTATAAAGAAAAGTTGCTTAGAATCAAAATTTATATTATAATTTCAATTAGTGTATGAATCGGCCTACTTTGATGGAAACGGACAGTAAAAAATTGTTATTCACATTACGAGAAAAAGGCATTCTTGATTAAAATTTTTGCTTATCTTTAATGACATTTTTAAAGATATTTTAAAGACAAGCAAAAATTTTAATCAAGAATGCCTTTTTCTCATAAAATGAACAATAAAAAATAAGCAAATAACCGTGGACATACTGTATACTATACATACATACGTAATAGTTGTGAAATGATGGTGTTGCATTCGAAAAAACAAGGTTATTAGTCCAAAAACCAAAACCAACGTAAGAGTACTCTCCGTTATCTAGTTAAACTCCCGGAAATGTCCTTTATAAAGAATTTATCAAGAACATCTACAAAAAATATAAAAACATTTATGTTAAAATCACATTATGTAGATAAAAAAGTATTAATACTTACTAACTTAAGATTGAAGGTAAAAACGGCTTCATGACAATATAATATTAATACTTACTACACATTTATAAAAAAAATGTAGAAATGTGTAGTTTGTTTGAAAAGAAACTGGATAATATTAAATTTATTGCAGAAACATATGGACTGTTGAATAGGAAATCAACCACGACTAATTGTTTAAACTGACAAGAAAACTGCTTTCTTTTTTGGTGAAGCAATTATTCAAACTGAAAACAAAGTTACTGAATTTTAAATCGGACAACTACACCACAAACTTTACAAGGGCGATAAATATCTTTTTTCCACAGTCGGGAGTAGAAATCAGTTTCTATGACATCAAAATTAAAACAGAAGTAGTCGATTATTCCCAAGGGAGTATAATGCTCCCAAGGGAGTTTACATTATGGAGAACGTTTTTCATGCAAAAAAAAAGATAACATTGAAATTATTTATTGACACTTAAATTAAACGTTACATTTGTACAATTTTCAAAATTAATATTAGAAGGAATATCACTTTAGATTTACAGTTTTTGTGATTGCGCTAGTAGTGGTACCTACTAAAACCTGATTAGCAATTTTGGTCTTATTTTCAATGGAGTTCTCGACATAACCCTCAACGACTGTCATTGATTTCCAACCAGCATGACGCTTTATTGTCGTGATATCCACAGCAGCATCTGCCAGTAATGTCGCTGAAGATCTTCGTAAGCAGTGACCAGTATAACATGCAGCATCAGGTAATTTTAAATACGAAGCTACTACACTCGGAATTTTTCCCATGGTATTCTTGCCAACTGGCTGCGAACTACATTTTCCTGCTTTGTAGTACAAAAAAAGGCGCTTATGCTTGACGTGGGGAGGACGAAGGGACAGGTATTTTCGAAACAATTCAAGCATATTTCCCACATCGGTAACCACAAAGGTTCGTGGAATCTTTGTCTTAGTGTTTGGAATTTTTACAATCAAGGAAGAGCCTACATCCTCAATATCATCTACAGTTAAATTGACTAGTTCATCAGTTCGACAAGCTCCGGCATCCCCAGAATTAATCCTACCTATAAAAAATCAAAATACTTAATAATTGAAATACCTAACAACAAAAGTAATCTTACCTTAATCATTAAGAATTCTTTGTCATCTGCACTTGATAGAAAACGGTCGATTTCACCCTTTGTCAATATTTTCGATTTTTTCGCTTGACATCCGTCACCGGTTCTTTTCAAAAATGCGATCAGCTTGGGGAATTTGCTTATATCTATGTTGTCGTAAATTATCAAGCATGACTTAACCATAGAATATTGCGCCCATAATGTGGAAGACTTGTAATTCTATATATTTTCACTGAAGTATACAACAAAACATTCTCGCTGTATACTTGAACATTTTTCTCGGCACACCACTTTTTGAACCGATTGTAGGCTATATCGTATAAAGATCTTGACTTCGTAGGCAGCAAATTGCTTATTGCAATATTTGCAGCCTCCACAATCTCTTCCGACTCACAATTATTCATTGTGCACTAAACAAACTTTAAACTAAACCAAACTAGCACCTTAATTTGACAATTCTTTTTGTTTGTTTATTTTGTAGTTATGACAATAACTCAACGACTACTAAATAAATGCTCAAATCGGAATACAATAATTCTGGTGCTACTTACTTCATAATGACAAAATATGTGTTTTTAAGTTAATGGGACCGTGGAAAAAATAGTATATACCATTCGGGAGAGATGCTATTTTGTCCTCGGTGCATTGTAGCCCTCGGGCTTCAAATTGCACCTCTGCCAAAATAAGGCATTTCTCTCCCTTATAGTATAATGTACTATTTCTACCTTCAAAATAAACGTGTAAATATTACTTAAGTTATTAATATTCGATTTTTTATTTAAATTAATTGTTTAAATGAATAGGTATCATTTCCAAAAGACCAGCAAATCTCTAGTTCATTTTATGTCCCATTTCAATAAAATGTTCAGATATAAGATAGATAACAATATTGTTTACTTAACAGTCACTCTTATGGGTTGTAATACGCCCCTTTAAATTCCTAGACGTCTGCCCTAGATAAAATTTTTTGCAATTACCACATGGAATTTTATATACAGGTTGATTCAGTTTGGTATTCGCGGCCCAGTATCTCTTTTATTTAATAAATAGCTATAACAAACCCTATACAGGGCGTCTCACGGTGACGGCCCATTAGTATTATTTCAGAGACTACTTCGATTTGAATTTTGAAAATTTGGAATACCGGGTTTTCGGGCATGCCCTTCTCAACTAAAAGAATAGGGGTCTACCTATCCCCCCTATAAATATTGTTGCTTTACCTTTCTTACTATAAAATACACATGGTTTGAAGCTAATCACTGTTTCTCTCCATTTTTATTTTTTGAAGAAAATTAAATATCTTGAAAACGATTAATTTTAGGAATAAGGAAACTTTATAAAAGTCCACTTAAAATAATACGTATAATCCAAAATTGCAATAATATACCTATAGGATATTCCATTTAAAATAAGCAAGTTGATGGCGATTTCCGGTATAACCCGAAGTGGTACGTGGACGCCATTATTTTAGTTGAGAAGGGCATGCCCGAAAAGCCGGCATCCCAAATTTTCAAAATTCAAATCGAAGTAGTCTCTGAAATAATTCTAACGGGCCGTCACCGTGAGATACCCTTTATATTTTTAAATCGCTGCTCAAACAAGTAGGATTAATCTATTTTGCTGTTTTTTAGCAATATTTCTAATGAAATTATAAACTTCCTCATACAGCTGAATGCAGAAAAAAAAATTTTTCCAGAGTTGATAAAAAAATATATAGGGTGCCATTTGAACAAAAACAGTTGACTATAGCAATTTTGACATGGATCTAATAAAGTTATAGCTATTTGTTAAAATAAAGAAGATACGGGCCACGAATATAATATATATATAATATATATAATATTAAATTGGTCTATAATTTTGATGGGAAACTTAAGTTTGGAAAAAAGTTCAGCACTAGTTTTAATATTTCTATTAGAAAAATGTAGTCAATGTTTATAAATCATTGCTTTACAGGGTGTTTTCAAAATAAGTAGTACAAATGGTACCGGTGAATCTATAGCTAAAAAGAACACGTTTGGCATAAAAATTACCTTAGGAGATACAGTCTCTCAAAGTTTCCAAAAAAATATGGAATAGCGGCTGTAATTTGAAAATCAAAAAGGTAATAGTCAAATTTTACACAGATACTAGAAAGGCAGGAAAACTCCGCTGACGCCGAGTTTGACCTTTCTCTCGGGCCTTCGGCCCTCGAGCCCCGCTGCGCGCGGCCCGAGCACCGCTCCGCGGTGCTTTCCTCGCTGGTTAGTAGCTATAACATTTTTTTAAACACCCTGTATATAAAAGCTTGATGAGAAACATCCTGTATGTACATTGCAAAAAACACCTGGTTGGTAGGGTATGATTTGTCATATTGCAGACTTCAGTATAAAATATGGAAATGGAAAAAACAATAAAAGTTTCGTTCTATTCGTAATTCTACTAATGCATTAAAAATGTTTTGAAAATTTTTGCCCCTTCGGAGGTATTAAAATAAGCATCCTCTAAGTTATGTTTTGCTTTTTCTTTCACCGATATCATTTGTGCTATTTCTGTTGAACCTGTATAATCACTTTAAAACTTGAAATAATAACACGTTACTTTTTTAGGCGTTTTAATTAAGACAATTAATTAATGACCAATAACCTTACCTTCTTACTAGCAAAATAAAATTTTCGAATTTCAATTAAAATCATTATATCATACCTAAGCAGGTAAAAATGTTTATAAAACATTGATTTCACCAAAAGACAACATTTTCAAATATAAAATAGAAATCATTAAAAATGTATTCCTAGGTGATCAGTATCCGGAAAGATTTATTGACAAAATTTTTTAAAATTAGTGAACGTTGAAAAATTAAATGTAGGTAAGTATAACAAATGAAAAGTTTTCTTCTTAAACTAAGATATGGAATTATCTTTAGTTACTACTTATTTGAAAACATTCTGTATAGAACAGATTTTCCATCAGACTTTATTATTGCCAATGTGAAATCGTTTCAGTGCCATCATGACTCAATCATACAATTTTAGTCAGATTTAACCAGTTCCTATGCTAATCTAAATAAAAACTTGATAAAAGTATAAAATATTTTTATTTTCGTTAGTGCAGTTTTACATTAAGTAGGTATAATTTTCCATCTTAATAAAACCATTACATAATATTAATATTATAAAAAACAGAAGATCAAATACGAGTTAAAAATTATGATTTAGCATTTGCAGTCGCATGCGCAGCGATATTTTCCGTCAGCGCCCTTCACGGCTATCTCTGGGGTACATTTACAGTCGCATTTACAATCCTGGCATGACGATTTCGAGCTACAGTTGCAAGCACATTCGCATTCCACCTCTTCTCCCTCAGCAGTCGTCAATCTGCACGTCTTTGTCAGAACACAACCACCGTCCGTTTTTGTGCAAGCGCAGCTTGATGAACAGGAACATTCGCAGAAATACTTGCCGTCTGCTTTTTGTTTTGCGGTTTCCACTGAACACTGGCAATCGCAGTTGCCGCTTTCGCACGAGTCCTTGCAATTACACTCGCAGTCGACTACCTGCCCGTCGGGTGTAGTCAGCTTGCAAACGTCTGAAAATAAAAAACCATAATTGCTTCTAATGTTGTACAAAATGATTTAGTATTCAAATTAAGGACATAAGAAAAATGTTGTTATTTATTCTTCTGTTAAGGAGGTATTTTAAATTAGTAATATTTTGGAACAAGAAATGATTATTTCGTTTATTTGAAAATGAACAATCCCTATTATATAATCAGTTTAGTTAAGGAAGAATTATAAAACCTGTTTTACATTTACCAATTTTTGTCCCAATAAATTGTTCAAGAAATTAGATAACTGCAATAACATTATACTAAAACCGCTGTACCTTTTCCATTGCGTCACAAGCAATATTCGTATGAACTAGGACGAAAAATCCTAGTCAAATTAGTTACTGTTTTCATATAATTGAAATGTCATCTTGATAATTCCGAAATCGGGATATCTCCCAAATTTTAATACTGGTATTGCTGGTTGTCTATATCGTTACATTTATGTACCTATTCGAGCAATATGCTTATTGTTTAATATTTAAAAGGAAAAAAATGTCAAAATTTACGTAAAATATAACCAAAATTTGTCTTTCAACATCAAAATTCAGTCTATAAATTAGAACCTGTTCTATCGTCTTCGATTTATTGACCATTTTATTAAAATTACGTACGATCTTTATCGCAATTTATTATTACATGTTCTAATATAATTTCAAAAATTCTAAAGTAAAACACAGGTTTAGTAGTCCCGTTTCAGATGAAGCGAACGACTGGTAATAAAAGCATTATTTTCAAAGAATATTTTATTGTTTCATTCCAATGATAAATTATCTCCTCTATTTCAGCATTTTCAGCTGAAATAATATCAAACACCGATTTTCAATTCATTTCTTTATTTCCCTAGTTTAATTTTAGTAGTTATTACTATGGCCACATGTTTTCTATACAGGATATCTGTTAAAGAAAGAGCCAAACTTTTCCACTAGATTCTACGATGACAATTAAAAATAACATTTTCTTTAATATCTTTCGACAACTTCAAGCTAATATCGTGAAATTTCGTATCCGGTTTTTTGGAATGACAAATTCGAATTTATTGTCGATTTCGTTGTATCTTCTAGAGGGCGCCACAAGCGACCATTAGGACGCATTTAATTTGCCAAAACTTTTTTGTGCCACCGTGTATTTCACTTTGGACTGGAAACTTTTTCCCCCAATTTTTCTGTTTAAAAAAAGGTATGCCTTGCTCATATCTCTAAAGAAAACTATTTTCAACAAAAATGCATTTAAATTTGTAAATGCATAAAAAAAAATTGTTTAAAAGTTATTTTCAACACTGATAAACGAAATTAGGAGCAATCGTTTATTACCAAAAAATATGCCTTTAAATGAAACAGTATAATTTTAAATTTCGTTTATTTTACAATTTTACTGCAAACAGAATTGACGGAGTAAGAAACATACTTTCTAACAATCTAATCAATCTAACACAATCTAAACAATGTAACCAATCTAAACGACCTAAAAATCTAAAAAAATACTAATTATTATTGACCTGTTTTAAAAAATATGTTTTTCAATGTTTATAAGTGCAGTTGAAAATAACTTTTAAACAATTTTTTTGTGCCTTTCCAAATTTAAATGCCTTTTTGATTTGGCTTTAGTGATATTAACAAGGTACACCTTTATTAAGCAGAAAAGTTGGGGGTAAAGATTTTGCCAGCCCAAAGTAGCACAAAAAAGTTTTGCCTGTTTAAATGCATCGCAATGAAATCATCAATAAATTCGAATTTCTCATCCCCAAAATAAAAATCCCGGATACGAAATTTCACGAAATCAGGTCGAAGTAGAATCTAGTGGTAGTTTGGCCCATTCTTTAACGGACACCCTGTATTATATAGCTATTTTATGTTTCTTTCCCTTCACCAAAAACAAACTGGCCAACAAAAATAAGTAATGTCGGCGAAGACGATGGAGTACCTAATATTTTCTTAATAAAATTAGAGGTATATTTTTTATAAGATATGCAATGTTAATGTGCATGGGTCGACTTATTTTCAAAATGGTCCAAATTTGTCATTTTTTCCATTCATCTCTATTTTCTGATTACATTGATATACAGGGTGTTTCTGAAATAAAGGCGTTCCTTGAAAAGGGTGATAGAGAGCACGAATATTAACAACTTTTATTAAGCAACTGATGGTCTAAATGCTTCCGTTTTCGAGGAAATAAATTAAGAAAATTAATCATAAGCCGGCCCTGTGCATCTTGTGCACGTGCGTTGTGTGTTACAGTATTACTTAACCGGCGTATAATATGTTTTTTGATCAAGAATTAGCCGATATGGTGTTAATGTGTGAAGAGTGTCAGTACAATTTAAATGAGACTTGTCATTTTGCGTATTTGCATGTATGCGGACTAATTTTGACCGTCGTTTGGAAGCATGTTTATTAGCACTTGGAAACAACTTTGCACAATTTTTGTAGAGCATATCGTCTATTGGTAAGTAATTCGTTTATTTTAAACGAGATATGAATAAATTTCAGCATATTTGAAATGTTAAGCGTCAAAACCGCCATCAGTGCTTTCGCACTGCGGCGCGCACCAGGAACGGATTCAAATTTGTTTAAACCTTCAAGTAGGTATACATTTTTTTTTTCAATTTAAAACGTAATGTTTGAGACCATCACTTGCTTAATAAACGTTGCTCATTTTCGTGCCGTCTATCATATTTTTCAAAGAACGCACTTATTTCAGGAACACCCTGTATACATGTCCAATATTTGCTTTTATAGTTTGCACAATATTTTAGTTTATTTACTGATCCTGCACATAGTCAAGATTACTATGGAAATACCGCGTGTATATGTTTTCGCTGTTAAATTTACAAAACAAATTTTTAAATTCTATATTAAGAAAAAATTTATTATTATTTGTTTTATAATACTTTCATCCTGTTGTAGACAAAGGATTTTTTTAATGCCTTTTACCTACCTCATTGATATACTAACTTCGTTCAATATTTTCTCCCTTAGAACATACAACCTATTAAAAATCTAACTTTGTTCATTTTATCTTTCAGAATCCCTCATAGAAAGACTATATTAAGGTCAAATTGGTCTTGCGGATCATAAAAGTATCCCTTTCGTAAGAAAAATTGAATTTAAAAAAATGTCTAGAGCACGGACAGGCTATTACAAACGAAAATGAAGAAGAAAGGAGGTAAAGTACCTTTTAAGGTATAGTATTTTTTCCCATAATATCTATAATATAGATATTTTTGACTAATTTTAAGATAAAAAGTTCATATGAACATGAATCCACAACGGCTTGGTCTTGAGATACAGTTTACAAAAAAAAATTTTGTTTGGCATTTTGATTATATTTTTATTCAATAACATGAAAATTGGACAAAAACCGGGAAACTGGGAGTATTGATGATAAGCAACTCAAATATTTACTTAGTTTTTTGTTTAATATTAGAGGGCGCCATATACAGTATTGTACCTGGATTTAAAAAACCATAAGTTTTTTATGTCGCACTGTATGTCATTTTTGACTAAAAATACCGATTCTCCATTCAGTTTTACGTACTCCTAGTATTCGTCGCTGAAACCAGCCGTGTTGTAAAAAGACGGGATTAAAGTTAAACCTGCGTTTGATTTTGTGAGTTGAATCATTAAGAGTTTTTGAAAAACAAGTGAAAAATGTGTCTTTTATTGATTGTACTGAGATGTGACAAACTTAGATCATTTACAAGACTAAGACTAAACTACTTCTACAAATAAGTTAATAACATTTACAATAATTGCCGAAACAAAAATGTTATTTGGACGCTCTGCATATCAAAAACCAAGCCGTTGCGGACCCATGTATTTGAAGTTTTTATCTTAAAATTAGTCAAAGATGCAACAAAATTTTCTACAACTTTGGCCTATTAAAATATTAAAATTATAAAAAATTGTTTCCTATAAAACATATAAAGTTACATTCAAATTCAAAAATACATGTTCAGTATGTTCCTTGCTTAGAAAACTAGGTACATATTTATTTCACAATATTGTGTGCTGATACTCGTGGAAACAATCTAAGTAAAATATGATGAAATATTGTTTGTGTTATTTACAATTGTTTGTACGATACGAGGATTTAATAAACTTTGAAACGAGCAATAAAATATAAACAACGCCATCCTATTTTATTTAATGCAGTAATTTAATCAAGTCAAATAATATGAATGTAGGTACCTAATCTGACTTAAGTGGAGATTAATTTGAACCCCACTAAACTTTGTCTATTATTATACAACAACGTACTTTGCTTTAAATTGCAACATTTTTTTTATAATTTTAATGTTTCAAGTCCTGTATTCTTACTTTTAATAAAATATAAATATGTAATCCACTATTTTAAAAATAAGCCAACTATTCTGATGTTACTTATGTCGTAAAAACTTATCAATATTTATGTTATTACGGAACTACTATACAAACATTACTTTATTCTTATAGGTCATTTTTTTTTTTTTCGTTCTAGTAACGTCATATTTGGTCAAGAATACCTACACACTATAATACCAAGCAGTGCACAATGAGTCAATGTCAAAAAAATGTTCTCTATCGCGTTATGAAGAAATTTCAAAGCATTTATTTGAAGTGAATACACATAAATATACAGGGTGTCCACAAATTTCACCAACAACGTTTGACTGCATATTCACGATGATAAATAAATACGATCTACAAAAAAAAGTTAAATAAAAGCTTTTTGGTTTTTGAGTTACAGGCCTTAAAAGTTATCAAAAATAAAACTAATTTAATTAATAACTTAACGCGATCGGTAAAATGGTTATGAAGTTATTAATTAAATTAGTTTTATTTTTGACAGCTTTGAAGGCTCAAAAACCAAAAATTTTTTATTTAACTTTTTTTTCATAGATCGGATTTATTCATCGTCGTGAATATGCAGTCAAACGTTGACGGTGAAATTTGCGAATACCCTGTATATGTACTTATATAATTATATAAACAAAGTGGCATATAAAGTAGTTCTGTGAAATATAGAAATAAAAGTAATTTTTCATATATTGCACTGTGACTTCTATTTGGTTCGTTTGGATACGCCACTGGTTAGATAAAAATGAGTTTATAAATCCCCTTTTATTGATTTTTCCATATATTTCCAAGTAAAATTAGAAATATTTTTTACAAGTGTGAAAAGATTTGACAACAATATAAAAAATAATTTAAAAAATTGGATATCTAAATTAATTTATTACAAACATTTGATTTTTATCAAGCAATTAAAGTGTAAATATTAACGAAATTGTTATAATCAAGGCTTTATATTGACAGAGTATTTGAAATATTAAAAACTGGAATAGTGAAAAACAATACAAAAAAATATGTTGTATAGATACCCATAAAATAGGTACTTTGAATAATTATTAAAATAATGCAACTCAAACCGACAGTAGGTATAGTTCTTTTCATACATATTGTAGAAATAAAAAACTCTTTTATATTGCCGATAACTACAAAAACGGGGTCGTAAATACTTCTCTGTTTAGCAGAACAGGGTCGTATTTAGGGAAAGTTTACAGAATATAATATTTAAGTCTCCTATCAAACAATTCACAGACTGACACACACAATGGCTATAAATTAAAAACAATTGCAGTGAATAACAAAAGTTACTCAATAAAAAATTTGCAATAAAACAAAAATCTCACTACTCAAAACTCTAGTCTAAGAAATTACAATCACAGCATTGCAGCACCAACTCCTGCCCTGTACCGCGCAAACTGAGCCATTAGAAATTTACAGTAATAAGTTCACCGTGTCTAATTATTGATTGTCTCTGTCTCACATTAGGAATTTGAGAACAACGTACGTCTTAGAGAGATCGTCAGAATCTGTTTTCTTGCCAGCCCAGCTGTGTTGCCAAATGTTTCGGCGAGTTAGTATTGTATTAAAAATGGACAACATACATTTCAAAAATGAAGTGAATAATGCAATTATTCTTTAAATAAATGTATGCAAATTCGGCATATTCTTATATTTTCAGGACATAGCTTAATATTTTAAACGTAAGTATCTGAATAAATTAATTTCATTCAATTTAGCAATTATTCATTTAGATAATATTTTTACAAATCGGCAACACAGGGCCCACGCGACGAATCAACATCGCGCCCACCTAGGGTAAAGCGGAGCAATATTTAAATTGAATACCTGACAAGATATGTAATTATTGATTAATATCACTATTTCTCATTAATTTTGTATTCAATTTATCTAGGTGAATGTACCTGATAAGAGTATTATGATTTATGCAATAAATTAGCTGTTATAACATTTCTTTTCTACGGACATGTAAAAATTGTGTTGCCCTACTCTCCCCCTATCACACTTATCGGCAAGCTTTGATATTTTTTATGTCTACTATAAGTATGAAAAGAACTATAAACAAAATTAATGTAATGCAAACAAAAACGAAGTAGGTAGGTATTTCATTGATTTCATTGGTAAAAGTTATAGGAAAACATGTAATTTAAATTTGAAATTGTTTAGTAGCTATTTTTGAGTGAGGGCATATTACGGTTTTAGCAACTTTTAAAATTTTCAAACGTAAGTGAAATTGTACATTTCCAATGTTGACATACACACCTTTTGAATTTAAAAATTGAAATATTCCGATAACGAAGCAAATATTTAAACTAAAAAGAGTTAATTGAGCTGTACCTACCTATCGAAAATAGATATTTATTTACAATTTTACTACCGGCAAATACATTTCCTGATTTTAGTATCTTAATAGGAAGAAAACTGTTCAAAACTAATATTTTCATATATTAACCATTTACTTATGAGTAAGATTTAATAAATAATAATAAATAATATAAAAAAACATAAATATTTACCTTTACAACAAGATGACATGATGAACTAGTCTGATGTTCTATTACCACAATGCGAATTGGAACTGAATGGTGGGTTGTATAAGTTACAGGTTAAATAGTGCGGTGAAAGTACGCGTAGTGCCGTGTGCAAAATCGGGATAAGTAAGTAACGAAAAACAGAACTTTCGTGTGCAACACTGAACTGTTCTGGAATGTTGGAATAGGAACGGTTAACGGAAGTTCGGGATAAGAACGGGTGAAAAAAGTAATAAACTATTTAATTTAAAATTATTGCTATATAATTTAGACGAATATCACCTAAATCTGAAGTAGGTACCATTATGTTTGAGATAAGTGATTGAAGTACCATGTATAAAGTAAAATAACTGAAATTGACTGAAAGATTGTTTCCATATTAGTAGTGTAAATTAAAATACGTATTATGAGACATTTAAAGTAGGTACTAATTAACTAATTTAATAGTTCTGTTTTTATTAGTGCTGTCAATAATTTCGGCAAATAAATTTCTTTCCTCGATCTACTTAAAATATTTCAAAAGGAAAAAAAAACAAAATCTTAAATATTTGTGTATAATTACTTTTAATTTTTTCTTTATTATGAAACGATCATATATTTCAATGGGGATTCGGCCAAATTTTTAGAGGAGGAAAATAATTCCATCTAAAGAAAATTAAAAGATACCAACCATGAATGTATTTCAAATTAATCTGTGAATTTATATATTTATTATACATGGTGATACACAAACGGTGACCAAAAATGAAACCTCGTATTCTTTGGTGAATTTTAAGGAGAGTCTTTTGTATAAAGTTTTTATCTAGGACGCTTCGTTAAAAAGATACAAGGTGTTAAAATTAAAAAAGTGTTTTTAATTTTTTTTTAAATAATTTAAAAACTAATAAGTGAAATAATTTAAGGTTGGGCACATGTATGTAAACATTGTCCAAAATCTGAGGCCTTTTCCTAAAATTTAGATGCTCCAGTGGCGGAGACTGGTGGCATATTTTTCTAAAAAAAAAAGTAGTACGCCACTCCTTTACGGTAACAAGCATCGTCTTTCAATTTTCTACAAATTACTATTCTCTATGTTTTTCGAAAAAAGCCTGACTTATCGAGTAAAACTTAAAAAACGAACTGACAACACTTTTACTTAAATAACGTAACAAACACATTCGATTATCTATTCGAATAAAGAAATGAATAACATTAGTCATCATTTTAATGATTTTATTTTAGTAAATACCTCCATTTCCACGAACACAGATGTGATATATTTTAGTAATGAAAATGTAATTGTTCGAAATTTACTGTTGCTTGAATCTGATCAAAAGCTTTATTAATTCTTTCTTCTAACTGGTTAGAATGTCTAAATTGCTATAGCAGCCTACTAAGTAATTTTAAATCGCATTTGATTCGAATATCGAAGTGTGTTTTCAGTCCGTTTTTAAGTTGAAATCAGGCTTTTTTTTTTGGAAAAACATAAGAGAGTAGTAATTTGTAGAAAATTGAAAGACGAACTCGAAACTATCATTATTGTTACCGTAGTGGCGTACTATTTTATTTAGAAACATATTCTACCGTTACCCTGTATCTGCGCCACTGGAGCATCTAAATTTTAGGGAAAGGCCTCAAATTTTGAACAATTTACACAAATATATGTGCCCAATTTCAAATTATTTCACTTGCCTACTAGTTTTTAAATTATTTAAAAAAATTAAAAATATTTTTTTAAGTTTGGCACCCTGTATCTTTTTAACAAAGCGTCCTAGAAAAAAAATATAAGGGAGACTCCCCTTAAAATTAATCAGAAAATAATGGTTTCATTTTTGGTCGCTGTTTGTGAATCACATGAACTTACTGATTATAGATAGTACATACTTACGTGTCTATTTATCATACGTTGTCTGATGGCTTCTATAGAACAACCATATTTAACCCTTTTATGGGTTTGGAGTTTCCACATTATGGGTTTTATGAACTCCTTGATTATTATTTTCTTTTTAATACATTTTAATAAAAGTTTGTTTTTAAAATAGTTTTTTTTTTACTTTTCATTTATTTACACCATTTTAGTTAGAAATATTTCTCAATCTATCCATTTCAAATAACACCTCTGCTACTAATCGTTGAGGAGCACCCTCATGAGGAGATGATAATCGTGGCTGCAGCAGTAGTAAAAATCATGTTTAGGTATCCAAATTAAACGTACCCATATGCAAAGTTTCGTATTCGTGCTACTAACGTTGAGGAATGCCCTCGTGAGGGGACAATCCTGGCCGCAGCATCAGGTTATTTCTATCACTTTAGTGATTGTCATCAGAACTAAACAAACATGCAAAATTTCAAAGTCGTAAGTAAGCCAGTTTCGATTTTATCTAAATTGGTTAAAATCAAGTTCTTCTCGAACAAGCGACATAGCTTTTTCTATAGAATCGGGATGATTAAGACGTACTGCCATTTTTATTACATATGGTAAATTTGCAATATAGATTTTTAGTGTGGTTTCGTCGTAATGTTTAATTTTGATTAATTTTTCATCAGCTTGAATTTAATTAGTCTATTAAATTCTATTTAATTTGGAAAAGATAAGATTGAGAGCATCTTGAACTCTTATGCCAAAATTTAATAAGTCTTCATTTTTCTGAATTTTTAGGGACATTAATTCTTGAACTAAACAATCTAAACTACGTTTTTCTCCGAAAGTATCAGTTAGTGTATTTTTGATCAAATACCATGAATTTAACTCAGATCTGGAACATATTAATTCTGCGGCTCTACCTGTTAGTTTACTAAAAATTGTGTCAGAAAGACATATGTTTATTGCTGCGTTGGGATTTTGTCTACCTTGAAATGCTGTTAAAAAGTTTTCACATGATGTTATAAATCTGTGTAGTAGTTTAATGTTTCCGTCAAATTGAGGAATATTATCTGCTTAATAACGTAATAATAAATAATTAATTTCTTGAGGCATTTCGTTTTCTGTTGTCTGATTATTAATTGACAAATTTGAAATTTGTTCTAACAAATTATCCAGTGTTTAGAATTGAAATTTTCAATTTATTGTGAAAAATTAGAAAATTTTTTATTTTTCTTAATTTTTCAAAATTATATGCAATTCTTTTGTTGGGGAATGGGAAAGGAAATGGAAAATTGAGAAAAATGTTTTAAATGAGCACATACAGTAAGAGAACGTTTAAAGATGTTTTCATTGATGTCTTCTCGAATAGGGATTGAACGAGAATAATAAGCAAATTCGCTGGGAATTTTCCGAACTTATTATTATTTCTCTCTACTCTGGATTTTCAACTTCTTTCTTGATTTTCTGATTAGTGTACGCTGCTCTGATTTTTGGGGTTTGAGGATCGTTGTCCTTTGGCCTCTCCGGTTTTTTTCCTGGCCTCTCCGGTTTTTGCGTCGTTGGTGTGGTATGGCCCAATTGCCTGGAGATTTTTTGTTAATCTACCACACTTTTGGTTTGTCGTGATTTGGCCCAATTGCCTGGTGGTTTATATCCTTTAAACCAATCACGGGTTTTTGGAATTTGCGGTTTGACCTAATTGTCCAGTGATGATTTTTTTCAGCCACAAATTTATTTGTTTTTGTTTTTGTGTTCTGGACCTATTGCCCAGTGACTAATTTTCTTTTAATGAAACACAAATTTGAATCTTGTTACCTGTGTTGTGTATTTTTCTTCTCGACTAGCTCAGTTCACCAACCTGGAATTTGTGAATTTCTTGATTTCCTTGGGTAGTTTCGGTTTCGTTTTGCACACAAACACTTAAAAGCGACGAAGAGAAAAAATTGCTTCTTGTACAAATCCACAAGACTGCACCAGTTTCGGTTTCGTCGTAGAAAGACGTTCAAATTTGGCTTACAAGATTTGAACTAAACAAACAAACAGACATACATGTGGAGTTAAATAAAATGGATCCCAAAGCCTCCAAAACTCAAAATAATGTTTGAAGTTTGAACATATCAAATAGACATATGAAACGTAGCATACCTTCCTATAGAATTTTCTATGATGGTAACAAGGTACAAATACCTTGAACATTTTGGTATTCATTGTAGATTATAATTATTGAAAAATGAAAACATTTTTGACAGTATTGAAATAGTAACTATAACCAATAAGACCCACATTTTCCCGTAACTGTGGATTTTCATGTAGTTTTATTTTTGTAGTTGTGACTAAACAGATTTTACATCTCTAATTCCAATTCGTGTAGCTCATATTTACATTTTACAAACTCTCATTATATCAAAGATGAATTTCACCTATGAACAAACACAGTTTTCCTTATAAATTACATTAAAAACTAAGAACAACTTACCTGGGACAATAAATATTTAACATCTGGGGCTTGTATAACACAGACTGACTTAAATTTCTTTTTTTTTTATATTTAGATCAGACCTATCATTTCTTTAATTTTAACTAGATGACTGATTTTCTGAACATTAATTTGATGTCCAAACTTGGCGGACGGCCCTTTTTAACGCAAAAAGGACGTTAAAGGACAAAAACACAATTAAGTTGAAAAAAGAAATGTACGGTGTGTTCCCTATATATTTTTGGGCGCTCAACATAAATCCGATGTCAAAAAAGGGCACACTGCCCTACCAAGCGACTTATTCTACGATTACAAAACATTTAACGATGAAAATTTTTTTACTCTTCAAATTTGGTTTTAGCACATCAAAATCTATAAGAAATGATAGGTCCGATTTAAAAACCAAAACAAAATTTTTGTTGGCCTGTGTAATAAATGGCTTTATTTTATTTGTATTAAACGTTTTTGATTTTTTGGATTTATACCCTTCACCTTTTCTTTTCAATAAGATGTAAAATTTGGATATGCCAATCTCATATTTAATATTTAACGTATATTTCAAAATTCAAGTGTCCATAAACGTGTGGAATTCAATTTTTTTGATAACTCATCAAAATAAAAGATTAAAATGTTTTCTTATAAACCGCTAACCTTATTTTTAACCCTCTAATGGATAAAACTGAAAGTAAAATTTTTCGTATGTTTGATTAAAGTACAGAAAGTATAGTCGTCCTTAAACGTTTTAATAAAACAACGGAAAATAAAGTTAAGTAAATATTTTATTGTTTTCATGTATTCCTAGGACTAAATAATATAAAAGATGAATAATGTCTTACCAGAAATGTAACAAACATATTTACGTTTGCATAAATTTTAATAAATAAAACAAAAAAAAACGATTCGAGCTGTCTAAGGGTATGCACGCAGTGAAACTTTGCATGGGCACGTACCTACGTTTTGAGGGAATATTTCCGAGGGTTATATTCAATATTTCAAATCATTTTGTCATATCATGTCATATCAATCATAAAAGCAAATACCAATAACGTGGGTACTACTCGGATATTCTCGCTAGTCCATATTTTTGTGTTTAGAGTGAGTTTTTTGTAATCTTCCTTCGTTACGTGACATGAGATGTCCTTTATTATTTTTTTAATTCAAGCCTATTTCTGGAGAAAAATGCTGTTTTATTAATTTGTTAATCTCCATTATTCACTATTTGAATCAAGAAAATGCTAATAGACAACTTTTCGCACGTCATAAACGATACCCACAAAATTAGAAATGTCAGCGGTTTGCATATTATTTTTAAAAATAATAGAACACTATTGCAGACACGTGATGAGTTGTTTAAATTTTAGTTTACACTAAAGCATGCCCTCTAGTTGCCAATCCAGTCGTTCAAAGTTGGAGAAAGAGAAAATATTCCTTTATTGACATTAAAAAAATGATATAACAAATTAAACTCCAACGCCCTGTACCTTGGAAAGGAAACATTTTTTAATATAGGATTGAGGTTTTTGTAATAAAATAATGTGAATCACCCACTAAAATATTTTAGACTACATAAGAAACACCCTGAATGTAAAGATATTGTAAAGTTAACGATAATATATTTTTTTTACATTGCGGTTTATTCTACAGCAAAAAGGTCTCTTACTATTTTTAAATGAAATGTTTGGTTTTTGAGAAAAATGGTTTCTTATGGATTCATTAGGTACATGTGAAATGGTTAAGTTTTTCAAATAAAGTAATGCAGAATAAAATATTTAATATTGAGAAGCAAACAGAAATAGCAATTAACAACAGAGAACAAAAGAAAAAGTATCAAAACAAATGTTTGAAATGTCCTCGAACCTCAGTGCATTTCTCAAATCGCCTAATTAAGCTTTGAATTGCTCTCCGAATCATATTGGAGTTGTGTTTAAGAGTTTCACAATTATTTTCAATTCTTCCTCATAACATTTCAAAAGTACAGACTGGTGAACTATACACCCCTTCTTTAATAAATCCCCAAACTAAATGATCCATGGGATTTAGATCTGGCGATCGTGGCGGCCAAGCACTGGGACCAGTACCAGATTCTGCAAGATTCGTTTCCAAAATACGCCTGATCCAACGACGTGGATAGTGCTCCTCGAGCCACTGCCTAATTTAAAGACCATAATGAGCCGGAGCGCCATCCTTCTGAATCCACATATTTCTCCTTAGAACTAATGGTAAGTCGTCGACTAAAGTATTTAAATCTTCTTTGTTTAAAAAACTTAACCATTTCACATGTAATGAATCCATAAGAAGACGTTTTTCTCAAAAACCAAACATTTCATTTAAAAATGGTGAGAGACCTTTTTGCTGTAGAACAAACCGCAGCGTAAAAAAATATATTCATTATGAAAAATCTCCAGTGTCGTAGAAATTATATTAAAAATATGGGTTATCAGAGCCCCTTACGGTCGCATGTGATTCATATATTTTCACAATAATTTGTAAAATCGATAGAGGTTTTCATTCGTACACCTCATACTAAATATAAAACAAATGGCTTTCGCAGTTTAAGAAAAAATAAATAAATACCAAAAAAAAGTTTTTCAGCAAAAAAGTTTCAAGAGCTTATGTCTCTGAAATGAAGCCTTAAGAAGAAAACGTGTATACTTCAAAATTACATTATTTTGACAAGATCTACGTATCGATGGTTAAAGTCCTATTCATAAAAAGTGAATCACCCTGTATATTTCATTAAGATAGTGTTAATTTTAGCGTCCACCTTTTCCCATCTACTGGCATCCCCTAACCCTAAACTCTAAGAACTTTTAATAGAAAGGTAGTCAAATGATACCAGACTTGAGAAGTAGGTACCTATTTCCATGCAACTTTATATGTGTAGTGAATAGTTTTTCAATGTCACTGATTTCTTTTCTTTCGGAAAAATGAAATATGTCTTTCATCTACCCAAAACTGTAATGGTCGTTTTAACGATTTCGTAAAATCTTATTAAAGTTGATGCACGTACTTGTATTATAATAATATACTAACAATTACTATGCTTCTTATCCTTCTACAGAAATTTTTTCTTTTGAACACACTCCTCCTTTCTTCAAAGTATCGACTAATTTCTTAACATCATCTAATTCTGCTTTAAGCGCATCTCTGTCATTTATGAGTTGCAATGTTTTTCTGGCTGTTTCCAATTCTTCTGCTGCTTTATCCATATTGTCTTTTGAAAATACATCTTTCAGGATTGTTTCATATTCATTAGCCAACTTCTTTAATTTCTGTTTAACCTGCAGTCACATAATATGTGATAAACTTATTTATATAGAGTGTAAATAAAATTCTTTAATGACGAAAATCAATTACAAAAAAAATTCGATAAAAGTTTCTAGAAATGCTTCTTTCTTGAAATACAAGTTTATATTAATAAAATAAATAAAATTGCTGAAACTATATCATTTAAATTTGATACGCATCTCTAGTTTTTGACTTTTTTACATAAGAAACGTAATTTCGGCGATGGACTTGGTATTTTTCGCTCGCATTTTTTTTTTTTCTTCCAAGATATTTCAAACTGGATTCATCATTACGATACAGCACTAAAAGCTTCAGAAAAATTATTCAAGTAAATACTGTGTATATGGTTTTCGTCAACTATTTTGTACAACAGAATCCTGGACGTAGCCAGGGGGCATGGGGCCACGCCCCTCCCCCCCCCTAATTTTTGCCGCATGCTACTAGTTTCAAAAATTCCATTATTATTACTGGCCATATGTTCTGTAGGTATAGTTTCTGGCTACGCCCATGAACAGAATAAATTATCTTTTCACTAATTTTGAACATTCTATATCTCACACATTTTAGTTACACTGAGTATAATGCTTGCAAGGTATTCCAAATTCGATACATCAGTATAAGTCGGTTGTTATAAGAGATAGGAGAAAATTTAATTGGAAAAGTTTTGCAAATGTTTGTCATTTCAAATATATTATCAAATTTATTACATTTTTTAATGCGACAGCTCTTGAAATTCATTTTTCGAGGCTTTATAATTTTCTAAAACATTTTTTGTAAACCAGAGAAATATTGTATTTTAGAAGAAAAAATAATATGCATTGATATGAACCGTCTTTTGAAAGGAGCACTGAATTTTATTCATATTTGAAACATTTCATATGTTTCCTTTAGTTGATATTCAACTACCTTAGTAAAATGAAAGACATTTTATATGTCATTGTTATTTAGCAACTTTTTATTACTTTTGAAGTATATTATTTTTTATTTACTTACATCTTTTAAATAGTCATCACTAGTTTGATCCAAATTCATGTTTCTCAGTTCATCTTTTAAATCTTCTATTTGCTTTTTAAGATCTTCAATAGTGGCATTTGTTACATCTGTAGTCTTTATGACAGTTTTTGGTATGTCTTCATTTAAACTTTTTTGCATTTCCGCGGCATCTTTCTCAAGCTTGTCGGAATTATTCTCTATTTCTTTCAGTTTTTCTTGTATAACACCTAAGAGATAAATTTACATAAAACTGATACTGAATACCTAACCGCATGCAATAATAAAGCTTAAAATGCATAAAAAAAATATGTAGGTTCTTATTTAAAATACATCACTTATTATTAATGTGTCCTAAATTTAAATCAAGGAACATAATCAAATAAATACTTATGCTACTTTTCTCACAATCATATACTAGGTATGTACTAAATATATCTTGACAAAAAAATAAAAACATTTTATTACCTCCTACCTTTAAACTCTCTTCTTAATATATCTGCAATATTTCTCAGTGTATCTATAATGTCTTGAATTTTTGACTGTAAATTAGAATCACATAGGTATTGTTGAAACAGCGACTCTGGTATCTTAACAGAATCCAAATCATTTTTAACTTGGAAACTTTTGTTTTTTACATCCTCCACCCTTTTCAAAATTTTCTCTAAAAAAATAATACATTTAATTAATTTGAAAACACAAAAATAAGAATATGTTAAACAAATTAATCAAGAAATGCGTATCAATCTCTATGTTTTTGTATTAGAACTCTTACTTTGGAACACATGTTATTCTGAAATATTTCCTCTACGAGGTAGACCAAAAATTATTTGAAAAAAATTGGGTAGATGTACAAATGGTTAAAACGAGAGTAACACATCAAAGAAAAATAAAAAATTTGTCACTAATACAAATTTTTGAGAAATTTCGTGTATGCCACTGGAAAACTGTTTGATTAGATTGAGAAGAGGCCTCATATCTACGGAGCAATGGCGCGGAAAGAAAACGGGAACGCGAATCTACTAAAAACCTGACAAAGTATGTACAGTTTCATGGCAATTATTTCTAAATTTAACGTACTACGGGAAATTGTGAAGGAATGCCAATTTCTCTAATAATTTTAACACCCGATATTTTAGAGACAATGCCCTCCAGAACTTAACTTTAATATAATTGTTTTGCCCTCTAATACAACATTCAGAAATATGATTGATTATTATTATTTTAATTTTGTAAATAAAAACCACAAAAGGAACTGAGAAATGTAAAAGGCATTCCCCAAAAATTTTTCTATTTCTGTATTTGTATTGGCATACTGCCCTTAGCACTCAGACAGTACTATTTAATTACTGAATATTAGCATATGAAACATGAATTTTAAAGTGATGATAATACAGGAAACAACCACTCTACGAGCTATATGCACCCGCTAGCATTTGATCACACCAGCAATAACACTAACTAACACTAAATCATTTATTGACTGAGTACACCAGACATATACTGGTTTTGGACTTAGTCTTCATCAACCGACGAGCTGCTTTAATTCTATAGATTCAGGAAAGGAGTAAATAAAATATGAGTATCACATCTAGTGGCCACTGTCTACAAAGAGGCTATAAAAATATCAGAAAAGGACCTGTACTGCATATACAGGGTGTCTCACGGTGACGGCCCATTAGAATTATTTCAGAGACTACTTCGATTTGAATTTTGAACATTTGGGATACCGGGTTTTCGGGCGTGCCCTTCTCAACTAAAATAATGGCGTCCACGAACCACTTCCGGATATACAGGAAGTCGCCATCAACTTGCTTATTTTAAATGGAACACCCCATATATTATTGCAATTTTAGATTCCACGTGTTATTTTAGGTGGACTTTTATGAAATTTCCCTATTCCTAAAATTAACCGGTTTCGAGATATTTATTTTTTATTTTTCAAAAAAATTTAGAGAAACAGTGACTAGCTTCAAACCATGTGTATTTTATAGTAAGAAAAATAAAGCAACAATATTTATAGGGGGGATAGCTAGACCCCTAAGCTTCTCATCCGTACTTTCAAAGTGGCTTAATTGCATACAGGGTGCTAGAAATTTAATGCCGAGTTTAGTTAACTTCAAACCTTCAGAAGCCGGTTTTTTTAAACGGAACACCCTGTATGTTTTTCTACAATTTTATTCTCTTTCGAACGGTATCAGGATTCCCTATACCTATCTCTTCTAGTTTTTAAGTTATCTACTATTTTTTGTGTAATCACCTAAAATCATGTAATTTCTTGCGAGGATAGCTGTGGAATTTTTAGCAAAACTTCAAAACAAACTAACCACCAGTTATTTATTATTATTTATTCACAGACGTTGCAATGGGATTCTAAGCAGAACATTTACAGTTTTTAATGAGACATATCCCAATTTTCCACCAACGAGCAGAATAAAATTAAGAAAAATTCTAAAAAATCAACTTCATACATAGTAATACACAATTTTAATTATGTATGTTCATAATAATAATGCACTAAGATAAAAAAATGACTTAAAAAAGTCGTAATTGTTCAATATGACCCCCATTAACAGCTAAGCACTTGTGGATTCTAGAGATAACACCATCAGTCAGTGCTTTTGCTATTTCAGCTGCAGACAATTCATGAAACGCTCTTCATATTCGTGCAATCAAATCCTCTTTTGAAGCAACGGGTGTAGAATAAACTTTTTGCTTTATTACTCCCCAAACATAAAAATCTAATGGAGTGAGGTAGAGAGACCTCACTGGCCAAATCCACGGTCCTAGGCATCTCATCCATCTTCAATATCAATTATTACTTAATAGTCCAGTGGGCAGAGGCCGAAAAGTTACTGTTGGTGACATTTCCTTGATAACTCGGAAATAACTACACAGGAATACTTTAAATGATGAGTACAATAACAGGCTAATTTACTGACAAAGTATTTTATCAGGAAAAAAAGTTAGTAACAATTTAATCGTGAAAAATTTTTGTATTTTTGTAAATGACTTTGTACGAAAAAATGCTTAGGACATGATTTTGTTCGTAATAAAAATAGCTACAAAATGGCGGTGGTCCGCCGTGAGATTGAAAAAACGGTATAAAACGTCAATTTTTTAAAGTTGCTGTAAAAATGTCAATTATAAACAAAAAGTGATAAAACTTTCGAAAACTATAGTTCAATATATATACAATAATGACGCTAAAGCCGAAAATCAGGAGAGCAAAACTTTTTGTTCTATAAGGTGTTATACATTCATCGGCATCTGAAACTCGAAACTTTGCCAAATTTGTTCGAAGCTTTGCTGACACTTGAAATTTGGTACACACATAGTGTAAATATGCAGAAACCAAAAGCAATTTGCAAAATTCAAGTATCTTCATTTTTGCAGTTTTGGTAAGGTTTTATACGTCACCCTAGTTTTATACGTCACCGTTTTTTTAATTTTTGGACGTATATTTATGTATATTTATAAAATATTCCATTACGGTAGATTAGCCAGCATAATTACCTACAATTTAAAAAAATATATATTTTCATCGTTTAGATCCTAAGCTACTTAACATTTTGCGCCTGTTAGCCATACTCGTACATTATTCAACATATCAACATAAAACAAAATCGTACGTGTGGGGTAAACCTTTAACTTTTCATTTTCGAGCGCGAGCTCCGCTCTTCGGCGCTTGTATACTATTAGAAATATGCAACAGTAAATTTAAACAATTGTTTACTTAAAGTTAAAGGTTTACCCCACACGTACGTTTTTGTTTTATGTTGATATGTTGAATAATGTACGAGTATGGCTAACGGGCGCAAAATGTTACGTAGCTTAGGATCTAAACAATGAAAATATGTTTGTTTTTAAATTGTAGGTAATTGTGCTGGCTAATCTATCGTGATGGAATATTTTATAAATATACATAAATATACGTCCAAAAATTAAAAAACCGGTGACGTATAAAACTAGGTGACGTATAAAACCTTACCAAAACTGCAAAAATGAAGATACTTGAATTTTGCAAATTGCTTTTAGTTTCTGCGTATTTACACTATATGTGTAGCAAATTTCAAGTGTCAGCAAAGCTTCGAACCAATTTGGCAGTTTCGAGTTTCAGATGCCGATGAATGTATAACACCTTATAGAACAAAAAGTTTTGCTCTCCTGATTTTCGGCTTTAGCGTCATTATTGTATATATATTGAACTATAGTTTTCGAAAGTTTTATCACTTTTTGTTTATAATTGACATTTTTACAGCAACTTAAAAAAATTGGCGTTTTATACCGTTTTTTCAATCTCACGGCTTTGTTATTGCAAATTTCGTAATCGGACCACCGCCATTTTGTAGCTATTTTTATTACGAACAAAATCATGTCCTAAGCATTTTTTCGTACAAAGTCATCCCGCTGAGTTATTTAAAGAAAACTAGTAAAAAAATTTTTTTCACGATTAAATTGTTAATAACTTTTTTTCCTGATAAAATACTTTGTCAGCAAATTAGGGTGTTATTGTACTCATCATTTAAAGTATTCCTGTGTAGTTATTTCCGGGTTATCAAGGTTTTACACAGGCCGAACCTATACTAACTGGACTATAATTAGAATTAAATATTTCTAAAAGGCCATTTTATGTATTTGCTTATTAAACAATTTTATATTCACCCAACTTCTTGTGCTATTTAGGAAAGCTAGAAAAACAGCCCTCGTTGATATTTTGCAATTAGCAAAAGCTATTTTTTCAATCAAGTTGTAAATAATTTTTAAGGGATGCTAAGTGCAATAGCATAGTCCAATTTTAAATTTGACGTTTAATAAATTAAAAATAAACTAATGTATCTGCGGCTATATTTAAAATTTAAATAAAGAAGGGAAGCAGGTACCTACACCTATGATAAAATTGTACTCACTAATAGAAGCTTTGATGGCATTTCCTGTACTTTTAATATCGCTAACATCTTTCCTAAAAATACATTGTTAATTTTTTCTAACTGTATGTATATTTTACTAAAGTAAAATTAATACATTAATGTACTATACTTCTGGTAAATGGTAATTTTATATACTTTGAAAAAGCAAACAATTGTGGGAGACTAAAGTTTGATTAAAAAAATAATAAACTATTAGAAAAGTATCAAAATTAATTTCCAACTGAGGAGTATCATTAGTCTAGAAACAGTATAATATTACCTAAATTTTTCATATAGTTCAGATGCCCCAGAACAAGTAGTAACTGCTTCGTTATGAATATCTTTCAATTGATTAATTTCATCTATTCCTTTCCTTATCTGCTTTAAAAGATCTAAAGCATTCTTCAAATTTTCTACATTTTCGGATTTATTATTGATAAAGTCTCGGATAGTCTGGCTTTTGTTTAAAGTTTTTTCTAAATTTATTATATTCGAAATTATATCTTCTACTTCATCTATTAAAGAATTTATATCAGGAAAAGTTGGTAAATTTGAAATAGAGGGAGACTTTTTATACAAGTCGATCAACTCGTCTAGTTTAGGCTTAATACCATTATAGCATACATTCTCATCACCTAATTCTTGACCTAGAAATGTTTATGGCAAACGATATGAACAAGTTAATATTACTTACTGTTTGAAATAAATGAAAATTTGAAAACACTTACCAGCTCCTGTTACAACAAAATAAAAGACAAAACAAAGAATTTTTAAATACATCTCTAATCCACTGCCGATGATATCTGGATCTATATTATTTAATTATAATTGTTATCTAATCATTTATGTTATCTACATCAAACACACAACTGTCTTGCCTTACTTTTTATTTGTCTTGTTAATTCAATTATCTGAGTAGTAGACCAGGCGATATCTGTTTTGGTTTGGGTGAATCGTATATCCACGGAGATTTTTGTCTTTTTGGCTTTCAAATATCACTAGAAATGAAAATTTTTCTATGCGCATAAAAAAAAACGTGGGCTTAACTTTTGACGGCACAATATGTTAAAAAAATTGGAAAAATGTCATATTTTTCTTCCTATTTAATTATGTATATTTTTAAGAGTTGATTTTAGGCGAAAATGGAAGAGGAAAAAAATGTTTGTAATTAAATTTTTTACAATACATGACTGGTTACAAATCGAATGAATCATGATTATTATGGTAAAAATCGAAAAAATCACAAAAATGGGGTTAAAAAACAATACTTTTTAGGGAATTTTTTTGGTGTATTTAAATTGGGTGTAGGACCTTTATACTTGGCTCAAGAAAACTTCATGTTATGTAGAATCATCACACCAAATTTCATCAAAATCGGTTCGATAGATTTTGCATAATAATTTTGCAATCCAGATTTTGAAAAAAAATTTGCAAATTTTCAAAATTTTGCACAGCAAAAACCAAGGCCCTTAGATACTTGAAAATTTAATCACATATAGAAGGGCTCTCAAGCTTTCAAACTTTTTTTGAAAAATTCGAATCCGTCAATTAGGAGAGCTCTGGCGCTTTAACCCCATTTTTGTGATTTTTTCGATTTTTACCATAATAATCATGATTCATTCGATTTGTAACCAGTCATGTATTGTAAAAAATTTAATTACAAACATTTCTTTCCTCTTCCATTTTCGCCTAAAATCAACTCTTAAAAAGATACATAATTAAATAGGAAGAAAAATATGACATTTTCCAATTTTTTAAACATATTGTGCCGCCAAAAGTTAAGCCCATGTTTTTTTTTATGCGCATAGAAAAATTTTCATTTCTAGTGATATCTGAAAGCCAAAAAGCCAAAAATCTCCGTGGATATATGATTCACCCAAATATGGCTTTTTGAAACAGATACCGTCTGGACTATAGGTATCACCTATGTTATCTGTAAGGAAATTTGACACTACAGCGTATTAACAAAAAAATGTGTTCCACAATTATTCACTACAATCGGATAAAAGTATTTAAGTTGCTGAAATAAAGGGGAAAGAATTTGTAACAGTATTTGTAGGTTAAATGTTACACAACACTTACTGGTATAAACAGGTATAAACAAATAAAATTAATTAAAAATGAGAGTAGTAGGAATTATAGTAAATAAATATCATTATAGATTAAAATCGATATTGTAGCGAGCAGTAAGCTAGCCGTGATCTAAAATGTGACATATGTCAATGTGTCATTCATGCAAAAAAAATGCTGAACTTTCACTTCTTTTAGGCCAATTAGACCAGGATCGATAATTTTTGAAGCCAAAAAAAATTATAGTAGGATGAAAACCATTGGAAAAGAAAGAGAATATAACAGAAATGAAAGGAAAAATAATTTACGGGCGATCTGAGGTCGGGAAGGGGTAGGGGGCGAGTTTTTAAGGGTAAAAAACGGTTTCCCTTGTTTTTCAGAAAAACTACAAGTCTTATGGAAAAAAGTTAAATGACAAAGTTGTAGGTAATAAAAAGATCTACAACTTTTGTATTTACACTTTTTTCACATAACCTCAAAATTTATGTGAAAAATTCAAATAACCAAGTTTTTGGTTTTTTATTTTTATCTTTTACAAAAAAATTTTTTTTTCACGAAATTTGGTGAAAACTTACCTATTTATGTCCCAAACACGCTGTAATTTTTTTGATTTGAAATATTTATTTTTTCACCTTATTTTTACTTAATATCGAAAAAGCACCCTAATTTTCAATCGAAAATTCTCACGTCAAAATATCTGCTTTTTTAAAAACGTCGGTGGGCTTTTTCTTCGTTGAAATCTCTACTTTCTGATGGTGTAAAAAAATATATACATTACTATGGTAAGTTTTCTCAGGAAATGCAAAGAAACGAACTAGAATCCGAAAATTTTTTTCTAATCATTATGTACAATTTTGAGCTATTTATTAAAATTTACACTTTAATTACTCGAAAAACGTAAGATTCCATGTTACATTGATAAACAAAAAAATTACAAGTCGAAATATACTATTATAATTAACAACCAAATAAGTTAATAAAGTTAATATTTAATAAGACATCTACAATATTTTGAGAAAGTTGTAGAATCTTCTTTCGTTTCTTTGCATTTCCTGAGAAAACTTACCATAGTAATGTATATTTTTTTTACACCATCAGAAAGTAGAGATTTCAACGAAGAAAAAGCCCACCGACGTTTTTAAAAAAGCAGATATTTTGACGTGAGAATTTTCGATTGAAAATTAGGGTGCTTTTTCGATATTAAGTAAAAATAAGGTGAAAAAATAAATATTTCAAATCAAAAAAATTACAGCGTGTTTGGGACATAAATAGGTAAGTTTTCACCAAATTTCGTGAAAAAAAAATTTTTTTGTAAAAGATAAAAATAAAAAACCAAAAACTTGGTTATTTGAATTTTTCACATAAATTTTGAGGTTATGTGAAAAAAGTGTAAATACAAAAGTTGTAGATCTTTTTATTACCTACAACTTTGCCATTTAACTTTTTTCCATAAGACTTGTAGTTTTTCCGGAAATCAAGATAAACCGTTTTTTACCCTTAAAAACTCACCCCCTTCCCCTTCCCGACCTCAGATCGCCCGTAAATTATTTTTCTTTTCATTTCTGTTATATTCTCTTCCTTTTCCAATGGGTTTCATCCTACTATAATTTTTTTTCACTTTTTACCATTTTTGAAGGCTTAAGCACTAGTCTAAATATTATTCTTCTCACACAAACTGCTAATTTATCCAGTCAGATCTCCTATATTTGCGCAAAAATTTAATTTAAATGATTTTTTCAAAAACTGTTATTACAAGTCGACATTTTCGTTAAATTTTCAGTTGACAAAGTGAGTTTTTTCTCATCTAGCTGCAAAATACTTTTATGTTCTAGAACGCCAGTCTTTTTCGTTCTAGAACATAAAACAAATGTCAATTGAAAGTGCCAATATTGCAGTGAGTTAAATTTAGGCCAGATCAAGTGCTGCCAATTATTATCGTAGCTTTTAGTTCTGTGTCTTCAATGAAGCTGCTAATATAATTATTTAAGTTTACTGCGCGCGTTGTATTATTGGTAAGTTCCGAAGGCTCTGCTGAAGAAGGTAACAATTTATTTGCGATTGAAATTTTATTTTTTATAGAATGTCTCCGCTATCGTACTAGAACACCACCCCCCATGTCGTTTAATGGTGGTAATATAGGCCCCTGCCTCGACTAGAAGAGTGGCAGAAGAACGTCTAAAGCAGTGGCCTGCCTATAAGTTTCCAGATGAGGCAAATTGAGATAAGTTGCTATTCTTTTGGCACATTTCTTATTTTGTTAACGCCAACCACTTGGTTAACACATTTTTCCCTGACATACCTACTTCACAAAAAATCTTCGACTGCCGGGCGTAAAGCACAGTATTCGCGGTATATCTTCATTTGGTCTGAACTTGAAATCACAAAACATCTCGGCAGTATGAGTTTTGGAATAGGGAATCCTTATAATAATAATTGAATATTTGTCTTCTATATCATCGATAGTTATCTTCAGTAACTCATCTTTTTTCAAACCTCCACAAACACCAATTGTTAAAATGACCTGAAAAGTTGTCCAAAGTTAGTTAAATCCATCGATTTATATTTGAATTATTTTTTCTAGCAGAAATCAAGTTCTGTTTGTAAAAATCTCTCAATTCCCTCTTTCGTTAGAATTCTGGACTCTTTCGGACGATATCCAACTGATTTGTTTTTAAAATATGGTATTAGTTTTAGAAATTTGGATATGCATGGTAGGTCTTAACAGTCAAACAATGTTTCCCTTGTAACTGAGGAGATATATGAACTTTGTCTAATGTTGCCGTGGGGCGTCCCCTAAGTCCAGTAATGGCGAACTTTTTCATAGAACACTTTGAAACAGCAGCATTGGGAGCAGCTGATGATGCGCTCATTATTTGGCCACATGGTAAAGACAGTATTTATGGTTCCCAAAACCATTTGAACGGTCTTCACTATAATTCACTATAGAGAAAGAAAAGGTGGGACGATTGGCGTTCCTGGATATCTTGATAATTGGAAATCAGCCGTAGTTGGTTCACAATATCTACAAGAAACTCACCCATATTAATAGATAAGAGAACTAGAACCATCACTCGGGCCAAAAAAGATTACAACCAAAGCATTAGTCAACAAAACTAGAGTCACATCAGGACTGGAGAATTTAGACGACTCTATAGGTACTGATTTGATTTGTTTGATACTCCGTTATCAAACAAATTTGCTAAACGTCCACAAAAAGAATGTGATAAGATCAGCAGGTGGCATGACTGTCTTATTACTTCCTTAAAGAACTGTCACTTGTACTCACACTATCAACCAAGGACGCCAACTGGGTTGGGTATTGGTTCTGTCACCGGTGTTCTTACAAATGCCGTTATTCCTGAAGAACTTTTGCACATTATTGTTATTTGAATAATACAGTTTAATTCTGTTTTATTTTTCATCATCAGAATAACCCATTTTAATTTTTTTACTAACTAAAATGGGTTATTCTGATAATGATAAATCCCATGTATTTTTAAAGGAAAGTTCGTTTCTGTCATTTTTGTCTGATTGTGTGCAAGAGAAATAGAGTTATAGTGTGCGATAGATAGAGTGACTTTGTCCTNTATTTTTCATCATCAGAATAACCCATTTTAATTTTTTTACTAACTAAAATGGGTTATTCTGATAATGATAAATCCCATGTATTTTTAAAGGAAAGTTCGTTTCTGTCATTTTTGTCTGATTGTGTGCAAGAGAAATAGAGTTATAGTGTGCGATAGA